TTCATTTCAGATGGTCATTTTTTAACTGGGTCTTTAATGTGTGTGGGAGTCTAATTTTTGAGTTCTTTCTATATTTTAGATATTAGTACTTTGAGGAGTAGCTAGCAATTTTTTCCCACTTTGTAGGGTTTTTTCTTCATTTGCTAGTGGTTTCTTTGTTATGCAGAAGCTTTTAAATTTGATATGATCCCATTTGTTGATTCTTGGTATTATTTCTTGGACAACTGAGGTTCTGCTCAGAAACACTTGGACAGGAATATAGCTCAGTGGCATGGTGCTTGCCTTGCAAGCTCAGAGTTGTGAGTTGAGTTTCTGGTACCAAAAAAAAAAAAGGAAGTCTTTGCCTAAGCCTATGTCTTCAAGAGTTTTGCCTATTTCGTCTTCCAGCAGATGTTTTGGTTTTAATATGTAGATCTTTAATATACTCTGATTTTAGTTTAATGCATGGTTCTAGATTCATGGTTCTAGATTGGTTTGTGGATAGCCAGTTTTCTCAGCAATATTTGTTAAAGAAGCCATCTTTCCTGCAGCAAAAAAGTTTGGTTCTTTTGCCAGAGATAAGGTAGCTGAGTGTGCCTGGAGTGGTTTATGCATGCTCTACTCTAATCTATTGATCCAGAAGTCTATTTTTTCCCCCAATAACATGCTGTAGCTCTGTAGTAGAATTTCAAATTTGGCATTGTGATACCCTCTACCTTGCCCTTCTTGGCCAGAAGTGCTTTTGCTATTCTAGGTTTCATTTGATTCTATGTGAATTTTAGGATTGCTTTCCTTTAGGATTGCTTTCTCTACCTCTGTGAAGCATGCTATTGATATTTTGATTGGGATTGCTTTAAATCTGTGTAAAGTTTTAGAAGTATGGCCATTTTGACTACATTGGTTCTACTTATGCAGGAACAGGGGGATATCTTTCATTTTATGGCATCTTCTTTGATCTATTTTTTAGAGCAGTGTAGTTTTCATTGTAGTTGTCTTTCACTTTCTTGGTTAGGTTAATTCCTGAGTATTTTGTTTTTCTTGATGTTATTGAGAAAGGTATTGTTCTCTTATTTCTCTTTTGCTGGATTTATTATTTGTATACAGAAATGCTGTTTATTTTTGAGTGTTGACTTTGTATTGTGTGCTACTGAATTTGGTTATTCGTTCTAAGTGTCTTTTCATGGAGCTTTTGGGTTCTTCTGTGTAAAGGATCATGTCATCTGGATATAATAATAATTTAACTTGTGTTTTAACTATCCATATTGCTTTTATTTCTTTCTCTTGTCTAATGGGAGAGCTATACTAAAGAGAAGTGGAGATAGCGACATCTTTTCTTTTCCTGATTTCAGTGGGAAAGCTTCCAGTTTCTCCCTATTTTGTATGATGTTGGCCATTTGGTTATCATAGATATCTTTTATCAGATTGAGACAAAGATGTTCTCTATTTTCACAGGGTTTTTCTGATAAATGATGTTGGATTTTTGTCTAGTGCTTTTTCTTTTCCTATTGATCTTATGATTTTTGTCTTTTCTTGTGTTTATGTGGTGTATTACATTTATTGATTTTGGCATATTGAACCATCCTTGCATTCCTGGAATAAAATCCTACCTGGTCATTATTTATGATCTTGATGATTTTCTGCATTTTGTTTATTAGTGTCTTATTGAGGATTTTTGCATCTATATTTATTAAAGAGATTGACCTATAGTCCTCTTTTTGGTTGGGTCCTTTTTTGGTTTTGGAAACAGGGTAATGCTTGCTTCCAGAAATGACTTTGGGAGTACTTCCTTTCTGACTTAATTAAAGAGTGTGAGGAGTACTGGCATTCTTCTGAAGTTCTTGTAGGATTTGGCAGTGAATTTGT